GTCAATGTTAACATGATGTTGTTATCTATCTATATAGATATGTATAGTTATATGCTTGTACTGTCATGACACTTGTGAATTCAATTAAAGTTATGTTTCTCTTTAATCTATTGTTATCCACATTAAATTATATACATGTATTATTGATTGTGGTGACATGATAGGTCTCCTTTAGAGACATGAAAGTTATAAGATTGATTAAAGTTATGTTGAGTTGTTTTGATTATGTGATACATGGAAGGAATCTTGTCGATCATGACTTTTGCCCGCCATGATCCGATTATTTCAATTCATATAAGGATGATGACTTGATAATTCTAATGAATAGTACGCACTTAAAATTTATTTTAGATCTTCAAGTAATCACATGAACCAAGTGGGAGAATGTTAAATTATATTAATAATTTACATTGGTTCATGTAATTTAAAGTATAACTTTGATGTAAGGATTCTAATGTGATGATTATTAGAATATAAGATATTAAAGTTATTGGGGTTATTTTAGAGTTATTAAAATTAATCCCTCTCTTCTCACTCTAAAAGGGTATTTTGGTATTTTATTAAAGTTAATTAAAATATCATAAAAGAGGACACGTTAAGTTTCGGAAAAAGATAGAGAACATAACGTTCTTAGAAAAGAAGAGAAACCTGACAGAGAAAAGAAAACCTCCTACAACTTCTATATCATCCAGAAGGCATTAAAGTGGAGTCAGAGAGAGAACAATTGACAGGAAAAAGACAAGAAGAAGTGCACAATGGATCCAGCTTAGTTCTTCTTTACTGTATAGGAGAAAATAGTGAGTATCATAAAAATTCAAGATCCTGTGTGTAATTTTCATTCAATTGAAAATTAAAGAATTGCTTACAATAACTTTTTCCAGAATATGAAGGATGGAAGGCCAAAAGAAGTACTTAGTGATGTTGAAAACCTTACAACAATTTCCTGTTTTATTGAGGAACAATTTAGCATAAAATTTTAGTGTAAAATCACCACTATAATGAAATAATTGTGTTAATACATTGTGAAAATCTTACTGTTTGTTGCATTTACTCAAAATGTCCCCTCTGATTTCCATGAATACAGCCTGAAAACACTTTTTATGCATGATGTTACTTATCATTATATTTTTTCATGGTTTATTATTATATTTTTCTCATGTTAACAAGGAAGGTTGATGGGCCGATCTAGATCTATAAGGCTTTTTGTGTGTGCTTTTTAAGGAGGGATTTTATTGGTCCCGTGGCTTTTTTTTGTCCCAACCCAATGGGTTAGGGCCAAAGTTTATAAAATGAGTTAATTTGATAAGTGTAATTATTAGTGAAGTTGTGACCCTATACAACTTTAATATTATGTAATTGATTATATGTAATCTGAATGTTTGAAAACGTGTGAAGGGGCATGACTTCATGTTTTTTGTTTCGATATTTAGATAACTTTTTCATTTGAAGTTGTGTACTGCACAAATTATCTATTTATATAAATAAATAGAAAATGTCTACATTTATTACGATTTAATTTTTTCCTTAAAACGTAAAAAAAAAACCATTAATATAATTTTCTACAATTTCAGAACTCAAATTCGAACCAACTTTACGCGAAATTCTAAACATAACTAATAATAATTACGATACAATATCAGTCCATAAACAAAAACAAAAAAATAAAAATAAAAACTCTTCCAAACAGTAAACTGTAACACTAAACAATGTCAAAGACGAACCTCAGCAGCCGCCGACACTAGAACCTCCACCTCCTCCACAATCTCCACCGCCTCCTCCACAACCTCCGCCGCCACCTCCACCCGCATAGCCATGATGACCACTTGAATGATGACCAGTGGAACCATAACCGGTTAAAGCCATTGTCATGGCCGGTACAGAAACCAAACCACCATCTCCTCTGGTGCTACCTTCACTGCGACGACCCTGCAATCTTCCACCACTCTTGCTTTTGCTCCAATCTCTTGGGTTTCTATCTCGGGAGAAAAAACACCCCATCTTTTTCCTTTTGCTGTCACTGGTTTTCATCATCACGTTCATATATATATATATATATATATATATATATATATATATATATATATATATATATATGACAAAGCTCAAGCTCCAGCTTTCCACGAAACTTCTTGTTACTACCGAGGGCGGGCAACCGATCGGAAAGGCTACCATGTTTGATCGGGTGTTCCTGATATGTCCGATCGGAACTCTTTAGCATAACGTGTGTCTGATCGAGCAGATATATAAAACTGCGGACGGAGATAGGAGTAACTTTCCCTGATCCCATTCAGCAGAAACACTTCTAAATAATTTTTTTGAAATAGATTTACGACCCGACCCGATAATATGGATAGAAGGCGTAAATACTTAATCTAAATCTATAGGTGGATGAATTATGCCTAAAAAGAATTTTCAGATAATAAAGAATTTATATTGATGTCAGATTCACCTATTCCCTACTCCGGTCACTTAAACCTGCCAAATCAAACAATTTTCTATCTAGGTATAGTTTTGTTTTCCTCGTTTGTTCTTCATTTGAGAATTAATTATAAAAATCCTTCAATTTTCAAACTTAGCATTGATGGTTTGTAATTAAAATGTATTTGTTCAGTTACAATGTATTTGCGATTTGTCTTGTAAGCAATGCAAATGTAATTAATTGAAAATTGAATGAAATTAATTACTGACACTAGAGTAAAAATGAGAAACTAGATTTTTTTCGTGACATCAAAGTGATATTGGAGAAGAATTTGGATCTTCTAACATATGACGACGTTTGTGAGGAAGATTATCATCATTTATTCAGGGTTGAATACCTTTCTTTTATCCCAATTTTGGTTAGTATTATTTAGGTTTAATCATTTTATACGTTCTTATTTATGCATGATCGTCTCAAATAGATTGTATTGTAAATTGTTTCAATTAGGTCTCTTATTGTGAAAAATTGAATCAATTTTGGATCTCGCCGTTAATTAAACTAGACGGTGTTAGAAATTGTATTGACGTGGTAGAGTTTGGTCGCTTGAGCTGGATTTTTTTATTTTTATTATTAAAAAACTTTAATTAAATGAAAACACAACCTTTTAATAAGAGAAAATTGATTAAAAGTTACGGATTTGAGGTTTTGATTGTTGACTGGGTGCGAAATTGGGAAAATTGGGTCCAAATAATTTGTCACTTCCTTCCACATGATTTACCACCAAGAGCTTGCCGATTCCATAAAAAAAACACCGATAGATCACTCCAAAATCTTAAAACGAAGCCTATTTTTTCACCACGTATATAATTTTCCCCCAATTTCTAACCACAAGAACCAAGCCTCGAAAAAATCCTATTTTTCCCAAATTTTTCCAATTTCGCACGAACTCAACAACAAAACCTCAAATCCCTAACTTTTAATCACTTTTCCCTAATTAAAACGTTGTGTTTTCATTTAATTACTATTTTTTAATAATGAAAATAAAAAAATCCACCTCAGGTCACCGAAGTCTGCCACATCAATGAAGTTTGCTCAGTCATCAAGTCACACACCATAATTTTTAACGCCGTCCAGCCTAATTGACGAGGAGGTTCAAATTGATTCAATTTTTCACAATAAAAAACTAATTGAGATCTTTCGTAATACAAGGACCTGTTAGAGAAGATCCTCCACAAATATAGATCTCCGAAATGATTAAACCTATCATGATTAAATAAAATTCAATCTTACTAAGTAATTAATTAATTTTATCAGTTGTGAACGATAAAACTTAGATTTCTTTTATATTTGGTAAGGGAGAGTGTTATAATTATTTGAACTTTGTTTAAATATTTTTAAATAAAATTGTTATATGATTTTCTCTTGCACTAAGCATATTTATTTTTTAAACTTTTACCTCTTTATTTTGACAAGTTTTAATTGAGAAATCACGGATGCGAATCCATTTACCTAGTAGTAAAAATAAATTTAATTTAATTTTTATGCTTTATTATTAATTCAGCAATTTTTTTTAGGTAGAAGGGTAACATAAATGAAGAGATGCAATTTAAAATGAATATTTAAGAATGCGAAATGTTGGTAATTTAAATTACTCATTTAAAGTAAAAGATAAAATAATTGAAAGATTATATTAATCTATACTTCTATACTATTGATAAAGGGAATTCACACTTTTAATGTACACAATTTTTTTTTAATTTTATCTTTTTAATACTTATTTTTCTAAATTTAAATAAAAAATTAATTTTTAATTTTATCCTTTTAACAACTATTTTTTGAATTAAAAATTACAAGATAAAAAAGTTATAATTTTTTGGTTTTTTTTATGATTATGTTTTTATAAAAATTATTTTATAACTTATTCATATTTTTTCAATAATGAAAAATCAATTTATAATTTAATAGACATTTTTCTATAATAAAAAAGTGACACGTGTAGAATAGTATCATATAAAACAAATCATTTTTTTATTGAATATCACATAAAACAATGTACGGTATTTTCGAAAAAAAAAATGAAGAAACGTATATTGTTTATAAATTCAATAGAAGAAGCCACAGACAAAATAAAGTGTTTCCCAAAAGTCAAGTCATTCTTCAATCAGTTTTTCTTAGTTTTGGTATGGTTGCTTTTCTTGTTTGCTCATTCACTCAGCTCATTTCGTTCTCTCAAATTCTCACTTCCACGATCATCGATTCACTCGCTTCCACATCGGGGTGAGTGCTTTTGGAAACAGTGTAATTAATCTTCTTTCATGTTCTCATGTTCTCATGTTCTCATGTTTTATCGTGTTCACCTCCAAATCGGTGTTGCTGATTGTTTTTCGCTGATCGGGGGATTGGGAATTTCATTCTCACGTTCCGTGTTGTGAGAATTAATTCATGTTTCATTTTTGCATTAATGGCCATGCTATTGCTATATTGCAAACTTATTTGTGTTAATACTTTTCATCTGAGTAATTAATTAGTTTTAGTAATCATCTGCCTCACACAAATGGGAATGTCTGAATATTATTTATAATCGGTGATTGTCATTATTAGTGTTTCAAAACTAGCTACCTTCATTCTGTGACATAGATGCATATGTATTTAGGTTATCTTAATAATTAAGTAGGTTAAAGAAGTGGCCTTAAGGCTAACTTATACACAAGCTAAAAAAATTTGTGATTGGCCTCTTGACAAGTAATAGAATTTTTATAATAGATTCTTTAGGTTTTTATAAAACTCATAAAGTATCATTTTTTGGGTCATATATTAATTCTAGGGACCAAGTTACAATAATTTTACAGTTCATTGAAATTGGTTCTGAAGGTGAGTTCAGTTTCTGCGGATCACAAAACTATTTGGAAATGCTGTTATGTTGGGATAATCACATGGACCATTTAAGGTTGTGTAACAACTAAAAATGGTTTTTCAAATGATTTCAGTAAAAAACATCTATTTATTAATTTCTTATGTTCTAATGACCGGTTTGCATACACTTGTTTATATAGATTGAATTTGCATCTCACTTTTTCGTGCTTGAATAGTTATACTCAAAACATCAATCAGAGTTGACAATATAAGAACTTTGTTTCAGGTTTTGAAAGTTTTCCAATTTTGCTTCTTGTTTGGTAATTCTTAAAACTATGTCTGCCACTCAAGTAGACGAGGGAGTTTCTTTGAAACTTCTGGTAAACAAAAAGACCAACAAAGTCATACTTGCAGAAGCAGGGAAGGACTTTGTGGATGTTCTATTTAGCTTCTTAACAATGCCTTTAGGAACTATCGCCAGACTTGTGCAGAAGTCAGATATGGGACAGGTTGGAGTTGGTTGTTTAAGCTCGTTGTATGGAAGTGTGACAAATCTTCACGACTGTCTGTTGACAGTGACATGCAAGGAAATGCTGTTGCAACCGGGAAACTCATCCGAAGAATATTGTAGGAGTATAAAACTTAACATTGATGACGCTAAGCCCTCGAAGCATTTCATCTGTATGAACTTCCCTAGATGCAGCCATTACCTTTTGAGCACTTTCAAAAATCAAAGATGTAATTGTGGGAATCTTTTGGCCCGTTTAGTTTCTGTCAAAAGTGGCAAAGTCTACAACGGATTTGTAAATGATGTTGCTACTTTCATTGTCACGGACGATCTGGTTGTCATTCCGAATGCAATGGATACAAGCTTTGGTGTCTTACAGAAATTTGGAGTAAAAAGCTTGAGTTCAGTACAGGAAATGACAGTGAATGTCACAAAGAACAAGGTTATTTGTCAATGCCATTTCTCTATTAATTGAAAGCTGGTTGGTTGCTTATTATTGCTAGCTCTGTACATATAACATTTTACCAATTTTTCTTTTTCAATTTATTTATTACGTAATTCCTTCCTATACTGATAGTCCCTTTTTCAGGTACTGGATCTGCTCAAATGTTCTTTAATGTCAAAGTCAACTTTGACAGATTTGTTCTTAGTACAGAAACCATTGCTCAATAACTCAAAATTTTCTCCTTCTATTGTTGGAAACAGCACTCCTACGAATGCAATCCAAATCAAAGTGAAAGTAGTTATGAGAAAATCAGATGGCAAGGTAATGTTTGCTCAAGGGGATGAAGAATTTGTAGACTTCCTTTTTAGTTTTCTAACCCTCCCATTGGGAGGAGTTATTCGGATGTTGGAAGGATATTCTTCAATTGGCAGCGTTGATGGATTGTACAATAGCATTATTGGTATAGATGGAAACAAATATTTGACAGGAAAGGAAGTGCAGAACAGGCTTATTAATCCTGTCCTTGCCCCACAGTTTAAATTGAGCATGCAGATGTTTCCAATTAATGAACAGGACTCAAAGTATCATTGTTATTATCGGTTTAGAGGAAATGAGAGCAATCCTGTCTATATAGCTGATGTAGGCAAGAGTTACGATAAGAATATTGAAGCTTGTCAAGTCCTTAGATTAGTACCACTCAAGTCATCTGCTGGAATTCTCAAAGGTTATGCCAAGGGTCCAGCAATGTTTATGGCTACTGATGACTTGGTTGTGGAACGAATGTCGCCCACTTCGGCTGTACTTTTACTCAACCGTTTAAAGACACATCTTAATGATGTCGAGGAAAAGGTTGTCACCATTGGCATCAAGGAGGTAAGATGCAGTTTAAAACTTTAGCTTCCCTGTTTTATTATGCCTTTGTTATCGGCTAGAGACAGCCTAGATTGATTTTTACAAGACTATATATGTAGCAGTTACTCATTTTAGCATGTTTCCTTGGTGCAGGGTCTTGGCATATTGAAAGCATCTTTAACCTCAAGATCGGCCCTGACAAACGGTCTCAGCCACTTATTGTTGTTACCTGAAGTTATGGAGCATAAATGGTATCGTTAACACGACTTTGTTGTATATGTGAATGCAGCAGAACTTCTGAGAAGTTGTTCTTTAATTTATACTTTACTTTCTAAGGGATTAGTCTCATGGTTTTCCACTGAGAATATCTTTGCTTTCGGTAAAAAATGTTGAAAAAAAAAACGCCATTTTGTTGCATTTCTTAAAATCTTGCTTTATTGTCTAATTTTTTTTCCCCCTTTTCCTTTCGGTTAATGTTAGAATTTTCTGTTTTCCTTCCTATTATGAAAGCATACTTAATCAGTAGAAAATTTCTTATGTTCGAGGGGATAATTTACAGACTTCGATCTAGGTCGACGTTAGATATAAGAAGAACAATTTTATATACTCCTACAACTTATTATTTGTTTTATTTAATAGTAAAGAATTGCACTGACAATCTGAATACTTTTTCTTTTTACTATAACATGTATGTGAAGTTGATTGACTTTTACAATAATTAATTCAAAACTCATCTTATTTTTAACGGAAAAAACGTGATTACTAAATTTCATCGAATTTCAATATTTAGATCCGAGACATTTCATTTAACAAATTCTTGACCCACGTCCTCAAGTTCTGGCTTTCCCCCTATCCTTCAACGATGTTGTGGAAGATATCAAGGAAAGTAGCGCTTTCTGCGTTTTTATCCGCCATAGCCCGAACGAGCTTACATTCTCCACTTTCTTGGTTGCGGTGTTTGTTTTCTTGATCATACATGCGGCATTTCCCCTGTTGT